TTTATATTTTACTTGTTTGAAAGTCTAAAATTGCCTGATTGTTTTATTTTGAAATATAATTCTTTAAGTATATACAATATATTGTTGTTGTAAATTAGGTATATATACATTAGGTATATATGTATTTAACGTCATAAAAGGGGTTTATTTTTGAAGGTATGAATGAATTGGTCAAGTTTTATAGATTTATCTTATCCACAAGAAGTCCTGGATAAATTTTTATCCACATTAAACTTCATGACCAATTGTTCTGACCATTAATAACTACATATTACTCATATAAGGATAGGTACACAGATGCATATAAGGTCCCACGCATACATATGTAAACTCTTTTATATATTACTTTACGCTCAAGTTTACTCCCTTTTAAAAAACTGTCGATAATCAGTCATGCAATTAATTAAATTTTTATAAAACTAAGTATAGTACATATAATTAAATTACAATTTTTTACACAAGTTTATTAAACCGTTCTAATTTTTTAATTGATTGTCCTTAAATAACAGATCGCACTTATAGTCGTAATTAATTTGATTTTCTAGAAAAAATACAAAAATTGTAAAAAACTCAATGTGACAATAATACTTGCTATAGAGATATATCCGCAGTGGCTACAGAACATTGGAGCTCTGCCACCAGCCGGCTGAAAATCCAACGAAGACCTAGAATTCATTTGTCAGATTGCCTTGATGGAAGAGAATTTTATAAAGAATTAGCGGATTAAAAATGAAATTGTTATATCTTTTCGACAACTGAAATGCCATTTGTATGAAATTTTCACTTTAAATATTTTTTTTGACTTCTCAAAGCCTAGGGTTAATAAAAAAGCCTCAATATAAAAAACGATTTCAAATATTTAATTGAATTTAAATGTATCTATGTCGACATAATTTTTTATAACATTATATATAAACATACTGATTGTAAATTAAATAGAAATGAAACAATGTTTAGTGGGAATTGACCAAATATACCATAAAATATAGTCAACTAAAATTGTACCATATACAATCGGATCTCTCGCATAAAGGTTTTTTCTTCTATCTGTCTCACCCACTTTTAATTTGCTAAATTTATAAAATTATTTCATAAGTTCCTTTCACTAACATTTAGCTTTGGTTTATACAACAATTTTTCCCAAAAGGTATGAGTTTTTATGTATTAAGTACATCAAAAGACGAAACATAATAATAATTCAAGTTATGCGAAGTGATAAAACCCTTAACTTTATAGGAATATAAATTTCACATCACATAACATATTTTAATAGAAACGTCACATTATTTTTCCTTCTAAAATAAATTCTATTGACGATGGCTATATAAATAGGAGGAATACGGGTCAGACAGCTGATGAATATATAGCGCTATATATTTTTTGTATATTATACATCGATTAATACTTAAATAATATTTAAAAAAACGCTTTTTGTATCAACAATTTTTGTCCTAACCCTTTATATTAAAAATAATGAAAAATATGTTATTATGTGTCAAGTAGAACGAAAAATTAGTTTAATATGAGTATGTTTAGTTTTTTGGTGTAAGAGAAACTTAAAAACATATTATTTTCTTTGTCTTTAAGCGGGAAATGGTTGAGCAATCTTCTCGGTAACGAATAGAGCTGTTAGAGAGGCATAGAAAGACGGTAACGATCTTAGAAGTAATAACAGTGTAATAACCATATGGAAAGTAATTACTTGAAGGGTGTTAGGCAGTACAGAGGCAGTTGAAAGGTGTCATAACCACGAAACTAAGTGAAAAGACACGAATACTTACATAGAAACCATAATATTACCAACGAAAACGTATTATAGTATTTTAAAAGTAATATTAAATAAAATAATAAATATTCTATGTAAAATAAGTAACCTTTATGACCGCAAAATTTTATGTTTTATTTATAACCGGGGAGTATGGGCTGGATAAAATTAATAGCTCTTCAAACGGCTCCATGTTCACGCATGGCGTACTGACATAAATATACTTTAGAATTTACCGATTACTTCACTTTAATATCAATATACATACTTATAATATATTATGTACATACATTATATATAATCCTACTTATTTGTTTTCTTCGTAATCAAGTGATATATAAGGATTAAATATCTTTTAATCTTGACATAATCATGTATTAGAAGGGTCATACAAGAACATCTTTAAGGAAAATACTTAAGTTATCTTAATCAGTAATTTGTTTATAAAAATATAAAACTTGACACATAACATGTTGTTCTAATAATATAGTGTAAGCAATAGGTTTCAAACATCATTTGAAATGGTTACATCCGGTTTTTCCAATGGTTTGGAAATATTGACCGGGCTCTGTAATATACGAGTATACCGGTTTATGTAAGAAATACTTGCTGACATTGTGGTAGCTATAAACGTTTTGTATCGTTTTTTATGTATTTTTAACAGTATTTTTCCTTTTGCAGACATTTTATGAAATGAATTTTTTTAACTTCTAAATTATATTTCTCATGTTTAATATATAACAAATATTTATGTTTTAAAAACAATGTGCAGAGTTTGTTCTTATATTATTATTAGAACATAGTCGTTCTTATATTTAAAGGTATTTTAAATTTTATATACGGAAACTTCACTGTGTCTTATCAAAAATATTGTCTAAAATGTCCTTCACACTTCAACATCACCCTATTAAAATTAACTCAGAAACAACAACTGATAATATTAATCGTTCATTAACATATAGATACATTCAATAGTAGCACTTCTACCTTATTATTTGTATGTATTTTCATATACACCCCATCTCTTTACTAAACCATAATTTGCATAACATATATATTAGTGGTGTAAAATAAATTAATTACGAACCCTGTCATTAGAAATAACATTAAACTAAAACATCGAATACCCGAAATACTCGGGTAAAATTAATTGTCGATAGAGAATACGTTAATATTCATGGAAGGCTGGACACAATTCAAATCCATCCCAGCCTAGAAAACATTTTGTTTTGACCTGAACCGAGCGATTTATAACCGGGAATGACCCGGGCCAAATTCATAGCCGCAAACCGGTGCCGGATGAAACTTATTGAAAATCAAACAATTTACGAAATATATTGTTGTTTTGTTTTATTCTTATTTGATTATTTACCAGTGTTGTTCTTTATGTTATTTTAATTTGCAAAAATTTTAATATTATTAATTTAATCTACTTTTCTGAAATGAAATTTATTATCTTTGTCAACGAGAGCTAGTGGGAACGAGGAATCAACGAACATGATAATTTTAATAGATATACGTATTTCGTTTCTCCATAAACAGAAAATAGCTTAATTTACTAATAATAATTAATCACATTTAATTAACATTTACAAAGTAATAGTTTTAATATCCAATGTATGTTATCTGTTATTTTGGTAACAGTAGGATCAAACTCCTTTCCACTCTGAAGCATCATCTGTCTAGTTGTAGTGTTATATTTTTCCATTACTTAGACCGGTTTAAATCTTAATCAAGCCACCATCGGTCTCCCTCGGAACGTTCGACACGGTACCGGACGGAGCTGGATTTATTTTAATAAATTGTGATTTAAATCTGGGAACCAACTTTAACATTAAACTCATTCCGAATTTCAGACATTTTATTTTTAAAGCATATTTTAAAGGCAGTTGGGTGTTTATTTCAAAATATTTTATTTACACTAATCCCTTATATATATTTCAACTTAAACTGCCTTTTTTTCTCATTGTCATTTAAGAACAGCAACTACATTAAATGTATTAGAAAAAAACTCTTTGTATTTGCATTTTTCAGCATGTTATCATTATAGCTACAAATACTAGAGCAATAATAAATTTATTTTTGGGATTGACCAGAAATCAAAAACAGAAAAAGTCGTCTACATTAGCTTCGAATGTTTAAGCAAGTTATTGTCATGTTGACTAGATAAATGTTCACTGTAAATCAATGTGTTCTTAAGGTCATTGACATTATTAACAAGTCACATAGAGGTGACAATGCATCATAAAGAAAGAATGCCTTTGATGGGACTAAGATATATATTTTTAATATAAGCATGACAAAATATAGCATCCAAAGAAACAAAATAAGCGGTATTTTCTATTAAGATTATGAATTCCTTTATATTAGGCTTGGTTCAATCATTTAAACATCACTTCCTCACGTAGTTCTCTATAATACACGTACTTACTAGTGTATTCTCGTATCCAGGAATAACTCACGTCGTGTTCGTAAAAGCGGACTCATGTTATTGTGATTGATTAACGCGACCCTACCCGAATACAAACACAAGTCTTAATAAGCCTTCCAAAACGTTCTCTTTGGCCCCATGCCTATATAATAAAGGAGAGAAATTTACTCTCACAGTTAAGGAGTCCCTAAATAATAAAGAAAAAGTATTTCCTCATAAGTTCTACTCGAAAACTTAGCTGTGTATTGTCGGATTCACTAAAGTATGTTGCCGAGTTTGAGGTGGACACGATCTTCTTGAAACTTATGTTGTTTTCAGCCTGTAACAGATACTTCTTCATATATATCTAAATTACTTGATTTTCTTTCTACTGAGTTTATAAATAGTTGATGGAAGAAAATACATATATTTTTTTTTATTCAAGTATTGCTCACGCTAATAAATAAATAGGCTATTACAAAATATTATTTAACTGGAAACCAATGCAAAATATATCTGTAACGTAAGAAAATATATATTTTTTAAGGATAACAAGAAAAAGCCTTCATGAAATGAAATATACGTTTTCAACTAATTTCAATGAATAAATAGTTTATTGTTCTCAATTATTTCAGTGCCATAACAAAACTTCCTAGAAATAAGGAGTCTAACAGTTTACCCACCCACATAAGCATTGAGCACCACCATATTTATTTCTATGTACCTATCTTAGAAGGCTTGAGACATTATTGAAAGGAGACTGGTTTATTGGTAAATTTAGCAGATGTGAGTTATATATTATTTTTAATGTGATGTTTCTTCCAGACGAGGAGTTGGTCTTCCGCGATCGTTGGGGAGGGCTGACGCTCTTCAACGTGAAGAACTTCACAACCAGATTGCTTATGAACAATTCTACTTTTGTAAGTACTACTTTGCTATTATTTAACATGTTTTGGTCATATATGAATCAACCTAATTAAGTTTTGTATGAGTTTAAGCTTACTCCTGAATACAAAACGAATGTCCGAGGTACAGTTTCAGTCTTAATTTTTAATGTTCATTTTTACTTCCAGTAATGTCTTACAAAATGGCTGAAGTCAGTATGTATAGTTCCCGAATACAAGTTAATACTTAAATGTTCCCATTACAATATAACAATGGTTCAGTATTATAATTATAATCAGTCATAAAAATACTTCTAAGAATTATAGTATACTAGCTTTCCGCCCGCAGCTTCGCCGCGTGGAGTTCGGTTATATCGCGTTTCCAAGAGAACCTTTCAAAAGTCTGGGATAAAAACTATCCTATGTTCTTTCTCAAGGTCAACTCTATCTCTGTACCGAATTTCATTAAAATCAGTTCAGTGGTTTAGGCGTGAAAGCGTAGCAGACAGACAGACAGACAGACAGAGTTACTTTCGCATTTATAATATTAGTAGGGATTATAATTAGTTAAGCACAGATGGCGCCACTTGTAATATGAACATAAATGACAGTTTTAAATAATATTTCTTTGAAGAACTTATAACTTTTTATCACCATGTTTATTACTTCTAAAAATATAATGAATACACATAACTTAGTGTCCAAACATAATTTTCCGATTGCATTTGATACAATTTTCTATTTTAGTTACATAAAAATGTTGTTAAGATCATCTTATTAACCGAACCCATAAACTCTTATGTATTCATCCTCATACTTTTATACATCTAAATAAAAACCCTATTAATCTCGCGAATATTAATATAATGTATATTTATACATATAAACTTGTGGATGTGGAAGGAAGTGGTGAAATTTTTGAAGAAACTTTTTTGACACATAATTATTATCTCGAATTTTAAATGAGTTTTTAAATGAGTTTGGTTTAGTTAATTCATGTCTGCCTCCTCTCATAAATACTTTAAAATATATTTTGAACAAACAAGAGCCGTCAAAGACAAAGACAGGTATTAACGTTCGTTCGACAAAGAAATGTTTGTCGACGACGTTGTATGTATTTGTTTTCTATAGAGACAAATAATGTCACGACAAATGTTATATGAAGAGGAATACAAAAATGTATTTTAGATATATGACTCTGATAACCTTATTTTATTAAATATATGTATATACATATATCTGATTTATTAAAAATTCGTTGTTTATAAACAGAGTTCTATTCTCCTTTTAAATAATCTTTGATTTCGTTTTACTTTTAACAATAATCATAAATACTAATGAGTTTTAATAAGAATGGATGACAGCCTCAAATTATTTTCATGTCGCATCCGTTATTAAAGCTGATAGCGCCGATATATACAACGTGTAACATAATTAACGCACACCCTGAAAGTATGTAGTTTGATCAGAATCGGATACTGGATCGATTTTGATAGTTTTTTATGTAGGTAATTTTTTTTCTCAAATTTAGATAGAACTAAGTAAATTAAAGTCACCCTACACAGAGTCATCTAAACACTTCATAGAAACGAAAATTAATGGAAACGAAAATGGATCGTAAGTCAGGGTATTAAGATTTTTAAAATGAAATATTTAATTAGTAATCATCATTCAATTAAAGAAAACTGATACTTATTTCAAGGCCAAAATAGTATTTAAAAATAACTACGCACGCAACACCATAGCGACAATCGGCACACAGCAAGGTCACTACAGTGCATAAAAGAAAACCGCGTAATACAAAAATTATTACTTTCTCCTTCTTTCTTTGGCTTAATAACATTACAATAGAGCGAGACGGCAGGATAATTCCGGGAATCAGAGTAATAATAACTAAGCATCGAAGTCAACAAAATGTGTTTTTTCTGTAAGTTAGTCACGCCGCGTCCACCTTATCGAAAAGAGGTCAAGTGTAAAGTGCAAATAAAATCTTAGTCGCGCATTTCGCTATGTCGTTTCGGTACACCAACATTCAATGCGTCAAATACCTACGCACGTGTCCATTGACCTCCTAGATCAGCTGATTTGACGCGAATCGACTTTTTTTTGTGGGGGCGAATTAAATCGCTAGTTTATAACACAGAAATAACAAGTGCCGAGGAACTAAAAAATAAGATAATAACCGCCTTTGTAAAAGTGAAAAGTTACATTGCAGTATTATCTAAAATAAAACAACAATTGCGAAAACGGTCATTAAAGTGCATTGAACAAGGCGGTGGACATTTTGAAAATATTTTAAACGACAACGCCGTGCGAGTGCAAATTAAACTGTAAGTTTGTTTACGATCTTTAAATTATTGTAAATATTTTGATACACACCATTTAAACAGGCCGACTGTGTTTAACGTTGTCGTAGGTATTGTGGTGTCTAATCAAATCACGCGTTATCAGCTGTTTAATAATTCTTATTTACAAATTTAATTTAACAAATCAGTAATTATAAAATATTGGCTTCACATTGAAAAGAAAATTCAATGTCAACAATCTAAAGCTTGAAAAGTGTGATGGAAAGAAAAATCATAATGTATGTAGTTATTTCGTGTACTTATTATTACCTACATACTTCTTATTATTGTCGGACGGCACTCGGAGAGAGGGGCGCGGGCGCGGCGAGTACATTGTGTCTGTCTGTGCGTGTGCAGCGGAGTGTCGCTGAATAGCTGACCATATTATTTGCACGAAATTGGGATAACTAATTTCACAAATAAAAAAAGTAAACGCACATATAAATAATCTTTGGTGTATGCATTGCGTTTATATTATTATATTCGCATTGGGGTGTTCGAGGGTGTGCGATAATTACGTTACACGTTGTATATTTGATGCATAATATGTATATGTATAATGTATATATCAAAGTTACTTTCTAATTTTTCACCTGCAAACTACAAACAATAAGCAAACATGCTATATGTTTGCTTATTTGTTCTAGTTATGATTTTATAAACTCAAATAACTTAAAAAATATATTATATACACATCATAAAACATGTATATGTATACATAGATATACATGTCGGTGTGTGTATTCTTTCGTTTTGTAAGTTCAGTTCCGTCAGGCAGACATCTCGTCTGTCCGTGATCACGTTTGCTGTAAAGTAACCGAAACGTCGGGAGTGTGTAGTTTTTATCAAGATTTTTTTATAAAATCGCGTAGTAAATCCGAAAACGAATAGTTTCATTTAAGTTCAGTTCCTTTATAAAAACTTTTTTATACAATCAGTAATCTTATCTACATCACATCACGTTTGTTTTATTATATACGCTATGTAAAGGACGTGTTTCATCCAGCTTCCACTTCATCTTTATTGGAAGTCATCTGTGACATGATCGAGCGACTCATCTCGAGCTAGTGAACATTCAGCAGATGCTAGACGTTCTAGATTTGTTTCAACATACAGTATTTAGAGATATATACAAAAATGTATTTTTTATGAACTAAAATTCACTTAAATTATATTTTTTAATAGTTAACCAAGTCTTAAAATATATAGATAATTTTATAATAATAAAGCATGTTCCTACCGTAAGATGTGTAACTCGGATATAGCACACAAAATAACTAATGTTTGAAATATGTAAATGTATCTAAAAAATTTTAATTATTTTTATATGTACTTTATAAAATAACCAAATTTAATTATTATATATTTTCATGATGATGCATTTGAATATATAAATCTAAAGAATTCATAATTTAACTACGAATTTTTACATCTCTCTAGCATTATAAGATGCACATTTAGTTTCAAAGGTTAAAAATTATTTCACACTCAAATCATTACAAAATTTATTTTAAAATTATAAGCGAATTGTTTTTGCCTTTTCCCAGAATAATAAATATATGACTGAAAACTATAGATCCTTAGTTAAAAATCAATGTATATTTGTATTTAAACCTATTCGCCGAATCAAATAATTTACCTCATTTCTCGATTGATGCTATCACCGGTTTGAAATATTCATTACATTACAAAAATCAATATCTGATTTTACAATCGAAATACTTTTATTTAGATTTTGTTTTATAATTGTTATGTTTGATCAGTTATGAAAGGGCGAAAGCTAGGCAGGATCTAGTGTAGTTAATATATAACTAAGGTTTATTCAATAGTACATTATATTTAAAATTGAATAAGTAACACTTATAACCTGTAGTTGTTTTAACCTCATTATTAGCATAACAATTATGTTATATTCATCAAATCTTGTCAAAATACTGATAGTTACCACGACAAGACGAATCTAAATAAGGTTTTCCGACCATTTAGGACATCTTTTAATAATCAAATTGAAAATAATCCCTTTTATTCCTTTAGTATAAAATCAAGGCATATTTTAAAAATATACAAGAATAATGTATAATTCTTCATGTATCCTGGTTATTTAAAACACGCTATAAATACTCGTAAACCGTTGATTTCGGTTTGAAGATTCGATATCAATATTGGTATTAATTTTGACATCAATTTGACATAATTACCTTAAATCTGGGCGTTTGTGAATAATTTAGTTTAGTTTAAAATAATATTTAAACATTTTTATACATTTTGACACCATTTGATTAATAAGCTAAAACCGAATTTTACAGTTTTATATCTTTTTTAACTAATAGATTTAAGAAATATTAATACATAATATGTATATTTGCTACTTAATTTACAATATAAATAACATTATTAATGTAAGTATATAAAAGATATTTCTTTATAAAAAAGAAGTCAAAATATTATTATTTTTATTTTCTATCAAGGGAATACGTACATACATCATTCAATATTAATATGAAATACTTGGTATCCATAATAATCACAATCAAAATTTAATTAATATGAAATTAAAATATAGGTGAAGAAAGGTGAAAAGACTAGTGCTAGTTTAAAATATAAACGCTATTATAACTAAGCCCGGCAATCACGTTGTAGGACAAAGTTAATATCCCTATAACCACCACTGTGATTATGTTCAATGTTCAA